TAGTCTTATCCCAGTCTCTCTCTTACTCCGTAAAATCCGTCTGCTCTACCCCTTGTTCACCTATTTACTCAACTCCTGCCAAAAAATCTGTCCTACTCGAAGCGATATTCGCCCTCACCTGCGTCCTGGTGACTAATTCGAGGTTCAAGCCTCTGAGTGTCATCATCACCCCTTTTCTACATAGACAAAGTCTCTGGTACAACCGACCTACCTTCAGCCAACTAGCTCCGGTCCCCGCCGTGTCTATCCTGTTTCTATCTCTAATACCGAGTCTATGACTTGCTATGCCCTAATCTCTTGTGTGCCAACCCACAAATGTTGTGGTACTGTTTGCTTTGGTTAGGTTTAATCTTAAACATCAACGTTTGTGGGTTGGCACACAACCACACAAAAGGCCACACCATCTTGGTCTTCATACCAGTAGATTATTAACATCATCCCAACAAGGAATCAAAACCGGTCAACGGGGCAGATGCTACCTTCAAATTAGGCGAAGCTTAGAGTTACGCGATTTCTGACTTCAGGTCTGTCGAAGCCTGCGGAGCCTCAGAGACATCAGTCCGACCCGGCCCGTCATAAGTCAAATCGGCTCTGTCACCCACTAGCGCCGATGGCCAACAAGACTGGGAAGAAGTCAAAACTAGAGTCCAACTCTGGTGATAAAGCCGTTTAGGAGGCAAGGCTAGATGGATTTCAATGCATTTCGAGGCTTACCCAATTCCTTGCGGCATATTCTGGGTAAATTATAACAATGGAGCCAGCATTGAGAGATATGCCCTTTCATCCATTGGCCATAGACTGGCAAGAAAAAATACCTGGTCTCTCATAAATCATATACCGAATGAGAGTATGCTTCAAAACATGTAATAGCTCTTGAATAAGATCCCAAGTTGCCACAAGTCGCTTCAGGTGATGTGATCACGGATTATGGGATTCTCCCTGAAGAAGTGTGTAGACCTCATGACGTCATAGTCTTGCCTCTAAACATCGTTTATTTTCCAGGCTGGATTGCGAGGTCGTAACTGATGTCCACTCGGGGCTATAAAGTCCTATGGCAGGCAAAGCTATTGAATTAGAATAGGAAATTAACACCACAAGTCCCTATATGTCTTCAGCTATTCTACTTATACATATTTTAGGATACTAAATTTTCAAAAAAATAGTTTCGAATCCCGCGCACATCTCCTGCATCAGCAGTAAAGACTGAATTGTGAGCTCGTCTTTTCCCAGTTTTGAATTCTGGCTTTGCTAGTAGGCCATTTTGTCCAAGACATGATGCTACTTTTGTGGAATGTATGCATGTGTATGCCAGTTAATCTTAGTTGTAGGGCAAAAGTATTATGCATATCGACAAATGTGAAAAGCCCAACTCGTACTAACTGTCAGTCTCATTCCTCCGGTGTCATACGTCACCACTCGCTGAGGGGTGGCGTGAATGTTTAGGTGTGTTTGTGTGTACACAAATTCGGCCTCTCCTCACACATCGCTAGATGTTCGCCTCTTTAATGGCTTGCTGATTGATGCAATCCCTGCGAATGTGCATCAACATCTGCGAGTAGACGCAACACGGACAGAAACAGGTGAACAAAAGGTCGGTGCAACAGTTGCCGGGTATCTCGTGCCTGCGACGAAACCGAGTCCGGCAACAGGCCACACTTAGGCAACCGAAGACTGGGCTGGCAACCATACAGAAGAACGCGACCAAGTAAGAGAATGGTCGTAGCCGGCATTTAGTAGACGCCCTCAACAACTCCTCCACTCCACAGGTAATACAGATCGAGGCGAAACAACAGGTACAGCACACCTCAGAGTCATAGAGTTGGGCAAACAGGTCATGCGTGAAGTGACCTCGTGTGATGCCATCTTCATCGGCTCCCCAGGAAGCAGCGACGCCCTCTTCGTATCCGCCCTCATCAGCCTCATCCTCTTTGTCATCCACTGCTTCAACAACCGCCAAGGGACTTTGCCTAAAAACGTTATGATTACACGCCGGCGGGCTAGGATTTTTCGTTCTGTTTACTCCGGCGAAATACGGCTCAGTAGCCTGGCCACGATGGGTCTCTGGGGCGGACATATTTATTGATCGCCAGAAAACCGGTGCTGGTTGTTCTCGTTCAACATGCGCCTCTTGCTTCATAATCCTGCCATTTGGGTCAATTTTAAGGCGACCGCCAAACGCATCGATCGACTTCTCGAGCATTCAAACATTTCGGCTAACGCGGAAGCACGGCGTTTGTGCACATGATGCGGCCGAAAAAATGCCAGTGATCTACAGGCAATCACAGTGTAAATGGCTGCATTCATCTTCTTTCATCAAGATAGGCAACTGGTGCCTAACAATTTGGTTAAAATGGAGCTAAAAACGACAAGTAAACCACCACTTTGACGATTACATCGCCAACTCGTCACCAAGCGTTAGATATGACAGATAAGGTCTTGACGACAGCTACAATTAGCCCAACATTTTGTCGTAAAAACGCCATCGCAGGCGATGCTTGCTGGTGCTTTAAGTGCCTTCTTTGAGGCAACTAGAGATCATGTGCAACCGGACCGACCATCCAGTCTATCCACGAAGTGCTATCAGCTCACTGGTTTGGGTATATGTTGAAGGCCCTGGGTCTGGGTCCCGCCGGGGGCCTCAAAGCGGCCTCATTTGTAGTCCTTTAGGTTGATATGCAGAGGCCATCATGAATATGTATTTGGAACTGTCATGAATACTTGATTACACGCTGGTATGTGTTTCTTACAGAAAGCCTGAATCACATGCTTATTCAAACACTTGCCTCGCATGTTTGTAGGTGTAAAGGGGAGACGGGAGACGGATCCAGGTATGAGTGAGATGACTTTTTCAGATAAACCGCTGTTGTTTTCGTTTATAATTAGGTCTTTGTTACTATCAGTAACTCTTAAATAAGGACTATATCTACCCCATTTCGTTTAGGGTGATGCCTCCATTAGCTTTCACATACCCTTACTTCACAAAAGGTATTCTTATCCAGGCTGGACTGCATTGGGAAATTAATACCACAAGTCCCTATGTGTCTTCTACTTTTACACCGTTTACGATTGTAGTGAAATTCAACTACCGGCCGGCTTACACCAAATAGGATGAACACATTTATGATAAAAATAATTACAGAAATTATTATTACGTATGAAAAAGCATATTGTGACTGCTATCATGTAGACAGCTTAGATCAAACATTAAGCGGCTATATAGAAGTGGGTTGACCTCGTTGTCGCAACTTGGTCTTATGTTCAGGGAGACTAGGTAGAACGCACCGAGTCCGAAGTCGTCTGC